CCGGGCCCCCCGCCCGGCCCCGGGGCTCCGGCTCCTTCTGCGGGGAAGGCTGGGGGGCTGTGAGGGCACAGGGGCTGAGCTGGGGGGTCCCCAAAACCCCTCGGGGGGCTCAGCCCCGCCTACTCACCCCCATCACCCACCCTGGGACCCCCCAAAGGCACCCCCAGCTCCCCCGGGGGCCCACCCTGGTCCCAACACCCCACGGCAAGGGGGGGCTGAGCTGGTGGTGCCCCCCAAAACGCCCTGTGGGGCTGCACCCAGGGACCCCCCAAAGCCCCCCCCCCACCCCAGTCCCACCGGGGGGCAGGACCCCCGGGGCCCCCCGGAGCGGGGCAGTGACGCCCGGCCCGGCCCCGCGCCCCGAAAAGGCACCGGGTGGTGGCAGCAGTTCGGGGGGGGCCGGGGGGGTCCCCACAAACACCTCCCGCTCCGAGGCCGTGAACCGCGGCGAGGGGGGCGCGGAGGCTTCCTCCTCATCCTCTTCTTTCTCTTCCTCCTCCTCTTCCTCCTGCTCGGGCTCCCCGCGGGGCCCGGCGGGGCGCGGGGGGGTCTCTCCGGCGCTGCCCTCGGGGGCGGTCACGGTGACAAAGCCGGAGGCGGCGCGGGAGCGCGACGTGTCCGGCAGCTCCGGGGACAAATCCTCGGCCGAGGCGGTGGCCGCGTCCCCCCGCTCCTCAGGGACATCCCCGGGGGGCTGTGACAGCGTCGCCTGTGCCAGGGGACACGGGAGGACAGCCGGGGACTCGTGGGATGGGGCCACCCCGGCTGCCAGCGCCACGGGGGACACGGCCCGGGCAGGGGGACACGGGGCAGGGACAGCGGCCGGGGGGCTGGGGGTCACCGGGCCGGTGGCCGTGGTGTCCTTTGGGCCGGGGGTCACCGCAGCAGAGGTCACGGTGGCCGTCTCGTCCTGGGGGGTCGGCGTCACCGATGTCACCGGTGTGGTGTCCATCACGCTCGGGGTCACCGGGACAGCGTCCCTGGTGTCCATCAGGGCAGGTGTCACCGATGTCACCAGGTCGATGGCCGCAGCTCTACTCTCATCCAGGGGGGGCGGTGTCACTGATGTCACCAGGCTGGTGGCCGCAGTGGCCATCAGGGTGGGTGTCACTGATGTCACCAAATCAGTGGCCACAGCATCTTTCAGGGTGGATGTCACTGGTGTCACCAGGACAGTGTCCACAACTTCCATCTTGTCCAGCAGGCTGGGTGTCACCGGTGCCACCAGGTCAGTGGCCGTGACATCCAGCTCATCTGGGGGGCTCAGAGTCCCTGGTGTCACCTGGCTGGTGGCCACAGTGTCGGGCTCATCTGGGCAGCTGGGTGTCACCAGTGGGGTTGGTGTCACCAGGTCCATGGGCACGGTGTCCGGCTCACGTGGTGGGCTCGGTGTCACCAGGCTGGTGGCCGCAGTGTCCGGCTCATCTGGGGGGCTCGGTGTCACCAATGCTGCGGCATCAGGGGCTGCAGCATCTGACGGGCTGGGTGCCACCAGGCTGGTGGCTGTGCTGTCCATCAGGCTGGCTGTCACCACATCAGCATCTGCAGCGTCCTGCGGGGTTGGTGTCCCCATGTCAGTGGCCACAGTGTCCATCTCATCCAGCAGGGTTGGTGTCCCCAGTGTCACCACGTCGGTGGCCACAGTGTCCAGCTCGTCCAGTGGGGTTGGTGTCCCCGGTGTCCCCATGTTGGTGGCCACAGTGTCCAGCTCATCCAGCGGGATTGGTGTCCCCAGTGTCACCACATCGGTGGCCACAGTGTCCATGGCTGGGTGCCACCAGGCTGGTGGCCGTGCTGTCCATCAGGCTGGCTGTCACCACATCAGCATCTGCAGCGTCCTGCGGGGTTGGTGTCCCCATGTCAGTGGCCACAGTGTCCATCTCATCCAGCAGGGTTGGTGTCCCCAGTGTCACCACGTCGGTGGCCACAGTGTCCAGCTCGTCCAGTGGGGTTGGTGTCCCCGGTGTCCCCATGTTGGTGGCCACAGTGTCCAGCTCATCCAGCGGGATTGGTGTCCCCGGTGTCCCCACATCGGTGGCCACAGTGTCCAGCTCGTCCAGTGGGGTTGGTGTCCCCGGTGTCCCCACGTCGGTGGCCACAGTGTCCGGCTCGTCAGGCGGGCCGGGTGTCACCGGGCTGGTGGCTGCAGCATCCATCTCATCCAGTGGGGTCGGTGTCACTGGTGCCACCAGGTCAGTGTCCACAGAGTCCATCAGGCTGGCTGTCACTGGTGTCACCACATCATCCATCTCACCCAGGGGGGTCAGTGTCACCGCTGTCCCCAGGCTGGTGGCCGCAGAGCCCAGCTCGCCGTGGCCGTCACTCCCCACTGTCCCGGTGCTGAGCTCAAGGTCATTGTCACCGTCACTGTCACCCGCAGGGCCGTCCTGGGGCTCCCCGTTGGCCCCCCCCAGCGGGTGGCTCTGGGGGTCCCTGGCACAGAGCACGGGGGCCGGGGGGACAGGGCTGGGTGCTGCCAGCTCCGGGCACGGTCCCTGTGCCAGCGCCGCTCCAGAACCTCCTGCTCCAGAGCCTCCTGCTCCAGAACCCTCTGCCGCCTCCTCGGGGGGCTCGGGCGGGGGCCACGCCCCCGCGATGGTGACAAAGGCGTCCCCGTCCAGCTCCGCGTCCCCTCCAGGGGGTGCCAGGGGTGTCCCCAAGGCGCCGGGCACGGGGGGGTGACACGGGGACCCGGCCCGGAGGTGGAGCTCCACACCGGCGGGCGCGGGGGAGGCCGGGGGTGTCCCCGGGGGGGTCCCCGGCGGTGTCCCCGTGTCCCCCGCGTGCCGCTCGCTGCCGTACAGCCGCTCGTCCTCGTCCCCGTCGTAGGCGGCCGAGTCCGAGGAGGCGTCGGTGTCGTCGCGGAAGGCGAAGGCCTCGTCCCCCCCCTCGGGGATGGAGCTCTCGGACAGCGAGCGCAGGAAGGACGCCGAGGTGCTGCCTTCATCCTCCTCCTCCTCCTCCTCGTCGGGGGCCGCCCGCGGCGAGATCTCCACGGCCTCGGCCTGGAAGAGGAGACTGCCGCGGAACGGGAGCAGCGCCGCCGGGATCAGCCCCGAGCCCTCGTCCTCATCCTCCTCCTCCTCCGGCGTCTGCCCGTCCTCATCATCATCATCCTCCTCATCCTCGTCATCCGCACAGCCCGGCGGGGCGAAGGGACCGTCCTCGTCATCATCATCGTCGTCATCCTCCTCCTCGGGGGACAGCGGGGGGAAGGCCGGGGGGTCCCCCAGGCCGGGGGGCAGCACCAGGGCCCCCCCCAGACCCTCGGCATCGCCCTCGCCCAGGCCTTCGGCCTCGTTCGCCAGGTTGGGGGAGCAGGACGGGGAGGTGCTGGCGGTGCCCGAGGAGCCCCAGCTGCCGCCCTCGGCCGTCATGTAGGAGCCCGAGGGGGACGTGGGGGGCGAGCACAGCCCCTCGCTGTCCCCGTCCGTCGGCTCCTCGGGGGGCGGCCGCGCCCCCCCGGCCCGCACCGGCGTCGAGGGCGCCGTGAAGAAGAGCTCGGGGTCCAGCGCGGGGGGGCGGCCCGGGGGGGGCTCCTTGGGGGGCGCGGGGAAGGGACAAGGCACGGGGGGCCCGGAGCCGGGAGGGGGCGGGGCGGCGCGGGGCAGGTGGCGCTGATCCCCCCCCCAGTCTGAAATGGTTCAGTCCGGCACAACCCCCCCGCCACGTGCTGGGGACCCCCGAAAGGCTCATTGAGGGGAGGGGGTCCTGCCCCCCCCCCACCACCCCCGGGGCCGTTTTGGGGGGAGCTGTGCCCTGTAAGGAGGGGGGGCTGCCGGGACCCCGTTAATTCCCTGCCGACCGGGGCCGCCCCACAGCTCGGGGCTGTTTTGGGGTCCCCCTCTGTGCACCCTGATCCCCCTGCACAGAGCGCACCCTCCCCCCTTTTGGGGACCCCCAGCCTCAGCCCGGGGGGGGCACAGGGTGACCCTGGGGTGTGTCCCTCTCCCCGTCCCCGCTGTCGCCAGCCCCGCGGGGAGGTGCGGGTGACCCTGGCCATTTGTCCCGGCTGTCCCCAGCCCCCCCACACGTGACAGCGGCCCCGCGGGGACACCGCTGTGGGGTGACCTTGGGCTGTGCCTCAGTTTCCCACCCTGGGGGGGATGGTGCTGGGAGTGGGGGCGAGGCTCAGCCCCCCCAGTCCCAGCAGCACCTCCCAGCACGGGGGGCACAGCCCGCTGCCGACCCCCGCTGGTGACCCCGAGCTCCCCAAAGCCCCCGTGCCCCGCCGGGGGGGCGGCCCGGAGCCCCCCGGTGCTGCCAGGCCCGGAGCCCGGGCGGTGGCGGCTGCCGAGAGCCGCGGCCGGGCCTCGTCCTCCCGCTCCATCCTCATCCTCTCATCCTCATCCTCATCCTCATTTCCCCGCTCCATCCTCATCCTCTCATCCTCATCCTCATTTCCCCGCTCCATCCTCATCCTCATCCTCCGGTTCCATCCTCATCCTCCGGCTCCGTCATTCCCGCTCTGCCCCTCATTTCCCCGCTCCATCCTCATCCTCCGGCTCCGTCCTTCATCCCCCGGCTCCATCCTCATCCCTCCTGCCCTGTCGTCCATCGCTCCCGCTCCATCCTCATCCTCCGGCCCCATCACTGCACCCCTGTCCTTCATCCCCCACCTCGATCCACCTTCCCTCCGCTCCATCCCCATCCTCCCATCCTGCACCCCTCCCTGCTCCGTCCTTCATCGCCTGCTCCATCCTCATCCTCAGTCCTCCATGGCTCCCGCTCTTCCTTTCATCTCTCCATCTCCATCCTGACGGCTCCGGCTCCCCCCTCCCTGCTCCGTCCTTCATCCCAGCGGCTCCATCCTCCCGTTCCATCCTCATCCTCCTGCTCCGTCCTTTCCGCTCCGTCCTCCATCCTTCCGGCTCCGTCCTTCATCCCCGGCTCCATCCTCATCGCCCCGCTCCATTCCCGTTCTCGGCTCCATCCCCGCCCGTCTCCCATCGCTCCGTCCCGCTCCATCCCCCCGTCCCTCCTCATCCTCGCGCTCGGCCCGAGCCCCCCCGCCGCCCCCGGCCTCACCTGCCTCCGCTCCCTCCGGCATCCCGCTCTGGCTCTCCGGTCCGCCCCCCCCGGCGGCGTTCGGGGATTCTCCGTGCCCGGCGCTGCCCGCGGCCCCCCCCGGCCCGGCCCCCGCCGCTCCC